CCACGACATCTGTAGAGGCGCAAGCGATGGATGGCGTCATTAGCTTTTCGTGTGTCATTACACGAAGGAGCAAATCACCCAGACTCACCGAGCCCTGCACCGGCAATCTGACCTTCTCGAAGCGCTTTGACCAATGCTGGTGTGTCGATGTGCTCCCCTCGCGCAATGTTGACGAGCACAGCTGTACGCTTCATCAGGCCCAGCTCCCTTTCCCCAATGACGTGATGGGTATCCGCCGTGAGCGCAGCAGCTATGATGACGACGTCAGCCCGAGGTAAATTTTCGTGCAGCTTGCTCAATCCTTGTACATCCACCAAGGCGCGCGCTTCGTCCGTCATTGGCAATTCAGATAGCTCCAGCTTTTCTGTAGCTCGACGACGGAATAGAGTGACTTGCGGAGTAAAGGGACTCAATAAAGATAGCAGGCACAGCGAGATTCCACCGGCACCGATGATTAGCACTCGACGATTAAAGAGAGAGTAGCCTAGCCTGTGCGCAAGAACGTCTCGGCGTCAAATCTCGTTAGGAGAAGAGCATCCTGAGAAAGGCGGCTTACATTGGGCCCCAGCAGTCCGCACGAACTCTGAGGGGTATGTGCCGCAGCAGTGCCAAGGTCAGAGTCAGGGCATGCTCGGCAACTGGTTGGGCATAAGCTCCCTGTGACAGATGCGAAGGATACGGTGAGCGAGAAGAGTACTGCAACGTCAGCGCTGATGCTCACCTTTGCGCTCGTCCAGATAAGGTGTGGATACCTCTTGACGACTGGGGCATACGCATTGATGCCGCTCATTGGAAGTTGAACCCACTTGACCGACGTGCCAACCTGAAGCGCCTTTTCCAGGATGTGTACATTCTTGGACCCGTGATCGACCCACAAGATACCTTGCGTATTGGCAGTGACGCAGTCGTTCCCTTCGATCACTTTGGCTCCCAAGCCTTGCAGAACGCCTTTGAAAGTCGTTGCCCAGTCTACCACAGGCTTTTCGGGCAGAATGGCAATTTCCGCTCCGGTCTGAGCAGGTGGAAGCGCAAAGTCCTTGTTCAGGAGACCGGAAGAGGAAACGACGGACTTGTGCTGCGGTGGCACTGGCATCTTGGATGTGCTGCAAGGCGACAAATTTGTACTCGTAGCTGTGCTGAGGTATGGAGTGATGGATATGCTATTCAGAAATCTGTGGGCCAAGAACCTCGTACGTTGTCTTGTCGAGCCAGTCGAGACAGGGTGCCGTAGTGCGACCTGGGACGAGGGTGAGGAATGACGGTCACGGTCTCTTTTAAGCAGACAACTCTGGAGCGCTCGGTGATTCGGTGATTCTCGATGAAAAGTCTGGGAGAAGGGCTGAGCAGCGATGCAAGGAAGGGCTCTAGCCGTATATGGACATATTTCTGCCCGTTCGCACAAGCGGGCCGTGCAGTTCGATCGACCGGGAAAGGGGAAAGCGCACTCAATTTACGAACATGACGGCGTGTCTAGTCGGACCGCCGAGAAGCTGGATGAGCTGAGGGAAGGAGAGCGCGCACTGGTGGAGTCCAAGTGTTTGCAGGGGAGAGACAATGCGCATACGAGGGCACAGCGAAGCGTCGACGAGTGTGAGCTCGTGCTGATAGCGTCGCTCGCTGCGTCTTGGTCAGCGGGAAGATGCGCATGTAGCAGCAAGCTGTTGCATGCGCTTTGGCCATCTCGTCAAAGAAAGGCTAGCTAGCGCATGCATCCACGTCGGCGCTTGTCCATGCGTGGGACTCTGCGTGGGACTCTGGGGTCGGGCGGGCCAAGAGAGTGAGGAGAGAGGAGCGTTGAAGGAGATCTATTCGTGATTCTTGCAGCATCGGCGGACAGCTGCTGGCAGCACAGCGCCGTTGAGAGCTACACAGTAGGGCGTGTGCTGGATGAGAAGATGATCGAGACGAGGCGGTGCAAAGCATGGCGGGCGTACGTCCGCGCATGGCAAACACATGCAATCAAGTCCACGAGTCGCCGCGAAGATTCATTCACCTTGACTCGATCGTGACTTGCCATTCACATTCAGGGTTCTTGATTGCAAGTGAGCCAGTTGCCTTGCCTTTTCACATGCTCATTCCCTTGTCATTGCACATGCACATGCACAGCCACGCTGTCCCAACCCAAGATCTCATCAATATGCGCTGCTAGCTTCAAAGCCAATCTTCGACAGCGGTCAGTCGCACGGCAGCTCGCAGCCGAGAATCTCAACAAGCTCGGATCCGCATTCAAATTTGTCCGCAACGCTACTACCCACTCCACGTGCCCATGCCGCTCTAACCTCTTTGGGACAAGCGCAGAACTTCACGACCGTCTTGCCGCATCCAACAGCCAGCATTCGCTCGCATCCCTTGCCGCATCCAACAGCCAACATTCCCTCGCATCCCTTTTGACTTCTCCTCAGCGTCCTCGCTCGTGGCAACGGGGGCATCCACTCAGTGACCGCCATTCCACGATTTGGAAGTACAAGCATGACGTCGCACGAGCT